GCTTCTGTGATAGAGGACTGTGATTGTGGCACCTCATTATCCTTTGCTGTTGCACCGATCATCAGTATGACAGGATGATTTTGAATTTCTGCCGCTCTTAATAGGCGTTCCCATGACTCACGATCCTGTGGTGAAGTCAACTCCGGGTCCTTATCATCACAGTCAAAGATACAAGCTGAGCGTGTCACCTTGGCTGGCAATTCGGTTCAAAGATCATGGCCATCAGAACATTTGCTGCCCTCGCTCCACTCCTCTCGACACCACCACCTCCATTATTTCGCTGAAAGTGGGAAAATAATCATTTATACCAGAAAATAAATAAATTATGACAGTCCTTTAGGAGCTATGTGAACTGTGACAGATATGACAAATGGGATGTTCTGAACTTCATCACTGAATCAATCTAGCTTGGATATCAAAATACAGGTACGCCAAAAATGTCAAATTACACAGTGACTTACACAGTAATTTTGTTTACACACTCCAATCTTCTCTGCCACCAGTGCTGTCGTGTCCGTGTGAGTGAGTGTCGAATGCTATAGATATTACTGTGAGTGCATGCTTACAGCTGGAACTAGCTAATGAATTTAAAGCTGATTGAGCTAGCGAGTAGCCTGCGCATAATGTGTTTTCTGCGGAAACAGATTTGAGTCTTTGCTTATAGAGTTTTTAAACAAAGGAAAAATAGTATATTTCAGTCTATACAATTATAAGGATCATAGCCATAAAGGAGTCTGGCACTGGAGACAATTATGTGAACTGCCCGTACAGCGGCGGTCTGTCAAGTGATGGGCTGATCAGGTTTATTTCTTTCACTCTAAGTATCCCTGCTACTTTTCGTCTTGTTGTTCTCTCTAAGCCATCTGTTCTGGGGAGGGCCTGCATAGATTGATGTGTTCTTAGGTTACTAAGAGGTGTGACGGCACAAGCAGTCTCGTTGAATGTTGTCACACAGAATCAGCCTCCACTGATTTAACCTCCACGCTATTTAGCAAGTGGCGCGCTGTCATCTGGTGTTATCGACCCCAACCAATGAAAGAAGCACACCCAATCGGCTCTGAGCCACAGGCAAGTGCGCCAAAAACGCCCAAAACGTTCAGCTGGAAGATGCTTCTGTTCGTAAGAACTCATGGCGCCCACAAATATGGCAACGTCTGCGTGTTCTCCTGTATGTGTTTTCAACGTGGCAAGGGATCATCCTTCCTCAATTATAACCCCTTTGCGAGTTCCCCCTCCGATAAATCAGGTCAAATGTGCATGAAATTACGGTTTCTCCATCGCGGCGTAAATAGGTTTTTCCTACGTAGTAAAATGGGGTCCTTCCCGGCAGTGACTGGACTTGTAACGGACAAGCTCGTAGCATCGCTTTGGCATTCGCTGTGAGCAAGCAAAATGTTCCTGCTTTCTTCTAACTCCCTGAAATTGCTTGGATTGGCCTCCAGCCAGTCCATGCCTCCTTGTCTCGGGTAGTACTTCTCCAAGTCCACTTCAGGGATACTGTGCTTCTTTTCTTCCTGTGGGCCCCACATTATACTGTCTCTTGCCTTTCCTCGTCCTGGCCAGTAGCTACTGGACGGTGTGCGTCCATCTATCATCAGTGCTCCCGTAAACATGTTGAAGGAGCCTCGCGTGAGCGTGTGAGAAATCGAGTCCGAGTATTCCGCTCCACCCAGTCTGAGTGAGGCGATTACCACTGGTTTTCTGTGTATCTGTTTCTCTGATTTCAGTTGAAGGTCGTCCATCTGGTCCGGTCTGTAACAGAACGTCGAAGCCTATCGTAGGAAAACCACCGAGACCTGCATATACGCCACATTAGCGCCGACAGCGTTTAACGGCGGACACTTCTCTGCCGACTCTAGAAGGATACTGGTATAAGTGATATATCTCTCTCAATGCGAACTTCTGGTCATTCTCCGCCTGAGTTGATGTTGTAGTTATACCATCGCAGAAGTTGGAAGAGAGTATATTTGCAAAGCATCCTTATTCCCATCGTCTTGACTGAGATCCAATAACGAGACGCTTTCTTCAGTGCAGCACTGATCTTCTGCCTTGTCTCCAGGCAGATTGGTGGCACCGCCTTGGAGTACTCAATATATACTCGTTAGAGTACCATGCTCTCACTCATCTGACCTCTCTGTATGATACTCTATGTCTGTCTCGTTGATTCGGTGACTAGGCGTTAGACAAAGCCTGTTTGGCGTATATATGTGTATCTGTTGCTGAATCGTCATATGGTTTCCTCAGAAGGCTCTCCATCGATGCCACCCGGGCGACGATGATCTGTTGTCCCCCTGCCAGAGCCCAACGCTGTGGCGACGTCGAAGGGCTCGTGACCTTGATGATCTATGATGATCGTCGCCCAGGTCCATCCCTGTCTGACGGAGGCCCTCATAATGCACTACTCCCTGCCGAAGCTGAGTATGTCTCGATCGTTCGAGTGACGACTTATAAAGATTATTTGAGTCCCAAATGTCCTCTCTCGACCGAACATATGATCGAGGGAGCCGAGAGTGGCTTCGAGGAGCCTCATTAACTCATGCGCAAGCACCAACGCACAAAATCAAAACTGAAGAAGATAAACTTTCCCAGTTTATTTGTCATTGGCCGAAGGTGTGTGGAGGCCATCCTCGAGATGGTGTTTTTGTGTATGCTGTAATACCCTTCATTCATGGTCATCGACTGATTTTTTCACGTAGGGCTATTAAGCCCGTCACGATGTTCTTTTCCGGTGATCGATGCTGAGCGTTAATTGCATAGCGTTACGTCAGCTTACAGAAGTCCGTCGCTTTATCAATTTTTGCTGGCCTCGCCGTTCCTTAAACACGGCGGTAAAGGATCATGTCCTCGTCGGTACTATCGCCGTCTCAAACAGCTCGAACAGCCTCCTTAACCGAAATGGTGTCGGCTGGAAAAGGAACTTTGCGGATTACCCTGTCCAACACTACTGCGTCCTCTTGAAATCTCTGCTTCAATCTGATGCATCGGTGTTTATAATGTGATGTTTGTCGCATTAGCTTGCGTTGTGTTGTCTTGTAGGCCGCAAGGGTCCGTTGTGCTAGTTTAAAGAACTACTTTGAGGAAAAAGCTCGGCAATATAAAATAAACTGAAGAGCTTGAAGTCGGTGTTGACGTACATAAGTTACCTTTACACATAGGATAAACATATGCATTGAGGCTGGTCACACATAAAATGCCTCATTAATTATTCACCAACATAAAAGGTTATATGCACATATAAAAATATAGCGCCTCATTACATATGCAACAAAATCATCTGCGCGCTTAACACACCGTTAAATACGAAAGCGCACACTCGGTTGATTCTACACACTAAAACTACACACATAGTGTTACCTAGACTGTCGACCAGAACCACGGTCACACGTCTTCGATAGCATGAGCAATAGAGGTAAGCCCGGAAGGTGGCGGTTTTTAGCTTATATAGGACGTGTGCCCGTTGACGTTCTCATCCTAGGTGTCGCTACTGTCATTGATGCTATAATGCGCTTTAATTTCATTCGAACAGGTGACAGCACTTTAGTCATAATGAGTCTTAAAACTGCTCACCTAATTACCATCTTCATATCCACGCTAGGGGCCGCTGTCGTCTATCCCGCACTGCGATCTTTGCGGTTAAAAACGGCCATGGTTGTTTATACAGGCGCTGTAGAATCGCCACGCCAAGCAGTAACACATCATATGCAGTAATGAACATCAATATCTATATTCAATATATGCCTAAACTAAATACATGGTTTACGCAGCTACATGCTTATACGT